GAATGTTTAGGGCAAGCAGCTCCCAATACCTATCCTTGTTGTGGCTCAGGAGCTCAGCAGTCTCTTCAGGCAGCCTTTGTCCCAGTCTTAGCTAGACCAATAGTTTCACAGTAGGGCTGTGAAGGCCCCAAGGAAGCTGCTCATGGTTAAACTGCATCCAATGGAGAGATGCACCCTTCTGTAGGTCACTGCAGACAGGGAGGTGGATGTATTCTGCCAGCCTGACACACCAGTGCCAAGCTGGTTGTCAGCTGTTTTCTCTTTAGACATTGCCATCAGTTTGGGAGTCCCTGCACAACCAAATCTGCAGCTGAGGGGGGATGCATTCATACACCATTTACTCACTGATGCTGGGTCCATTTGGCATTCTGTCCATAACACACTGAAGTGTGTTATATGTTATCTTGTCACACCTGTGCTTATCTTCCCAATTCTCCTTGTAGCTATGGGCTGCCTGAAAGATAACAAGTCCGCACCAAATGCAGGTGTTTTGCCAAGGCTAAGGCTGAGACAAAGTGTAAAAAAGACAGAAAAGGCAGGCAAGCTCTGAAGGTTCAGATTCTCCTCTAGTCCTGTTATTTAATGAGAAAGTTCCTCTTTATCTTTTCCAAATCTGTTTTCTGTTGCAACACTGTTCAGAAAATAATTTCTTGTACCTTCTATCTCCCAGCAGGTCATACTGCTACATTTGTTTTCAGTCCTGGTGTGATTGCATATCTTTTAAAATATGATGCTTTGTTCTTTTGAAACAAAGCAAAAAAAAACCCTCCAAGCTGAATTGGAAGAAAATGGACTGTCTTCTTTTGAAAGATTTTAGAGGTTTTGAACTGCAAAATATACGATCACTGTAAAGTTCCTTTTGTACTGGCTCTACAACCTTGGCAGGAGCTTGGAGTTCCTATTAGTCTAGGTAATGAGCAATAATAATAGTGATAATGACACTTCTGAATGCTTAAAATAGATTCTGTAACAATGTGTTGGTCCAATGTGAGATAATCTTAAATCTAATGCAGTTCTGAATCCCAAGCTGCATAAAAATCCACTTTAGAGATGACATGCCGTTCCGAGATAATCTTCCCTGCATAATGAGTTCAGGTATTTAGGCCTTTCTAAATACCAGTTACTCAGTTTATAGTTTTATCTTGGAACTTGGACACATCAGAAGAATAATGAATAAGAATGTTACCAAGAGCAGGGGACCTGCTGGCATGCAATTTTAGGTGCTTGAAAGAGCTATTAGAGCTGCAGCTTCACATGCTCGAACTGCAGTATTTTCTGATTTACCAAAATCGCCTGGCTATGTTTGCGATCCTTCCTAGACAATCAAAACATGTACAACTCAGACAAAAAACAGTCTTCCAGACCTGGGACAAGTTGTGTGGTTTTGCTTAAACAGCATAGTAAATTCTATCATGGGTTTTCCAGCAAACCCAATGAATATGAAGTCCCAGTTATTTTGTTTCTAGGCCTAGCAGTTTCAGATATGCCCAGCAGAGAGCTCTTTGTCTCTAAAACTCTGTTTCTAATGCGCCACAGAAAACTTTAGCATGAAGAAAACACACATCAGATAGGAGAGGCAAACTATGCTATAGGGATGCTCCACATCTGATTTAAGCCATCAAAAAGAAACGTACTTAGTCAGCACACTCTCACCTCCTTTTTAAATGCAACCGGTGTAGTCCCCATTCCTGTTTCAATTAGAATTTAGATGAGCAAGGGTCATTGAAAGTTTGGGGTTCAGGAAATCTTTCTTTGAGGTATGAAATTGTTCATCTAAAAGTTAATTACTTGAGGATGCTTATTTAAAGAAAATAATACTAATTTTTAAATAAATAAATAAATAATTAATTAATTAATTTGGTGGTGAGCATCACTTGAGGACCCTCTCCAACAGTGGTAAACACCTTTCCCTTCCTTGCGGCTGAGTGTGTTCCAAAGCATCCAATATTTGCATACTGAAGGCATGCTTTCCTGCAGGACTGGCGAGTGCAATGCCTGCACCAGTAATGCACCACACAGCACTGCAGATAATGACTGACTGGCAATTCAGTTGTTTACCCTGATTCTCTTTTCCCTTTCCCCTTCCGAACAACTGTGGTAAACCTTGACAGTTTACTTTTGGAGTCAAAGTAAGCACACACCTCTCCTTTGGCTAGCACATGTTACATGGAGTCCCTATGGTGCTACTGCCATCCGCATCAGTGTTATCGCACTGGGTCATAGCAGTGGCAGGGGCTCAGGGACACCTCTCAATGTATAGTCAAGATGACATTCATTGCATATGAAAGTGCAGGTTAAAGGATATTACCTAAAGTCAGCTGAAACCAGGGTGTATCAAATACTTTTCTAGTGTTCCCAACTTTTTAAATTATTATTTCATTTTGAAAGACCTCCCCAGGACTCAGGCCTTGCTAATTCTTATTTATAAGTAAATTCTCAACTTATTTAGAGGAACATATGCTGAGGAGACCCTTGGAAATTTGCTGCAGGGATTGTCTGCTGGCTTGCAGTATGATACTGAAGGTAACGAAAAGTTCCAAGCCAAATTTACTATAAAAATGAAAGAAAAATGTCCAAGTTCTAGAATTTTATGCACAAAGTAAAATTCTAATCTTTAACATTTGTCCTATCCCATGCCACCCTGGCTTCTGCATTTATAATCTCTCCATAACTCCTGGATTTTATTTGCTTAGTTTGCAAGAAAAAAGATGAGGCGAGAGGTTTCCTTTTCTCCACATGACCGAATCCAGTTTGTTTAAAGTACGATGCAAATAATGATGAATTACTCACTTATCTTCTTTTTCATGAGTTATGCACAGGCCTATTTTTATGAAGTAATTTGTAGTCTCTAGGCATCTCTAGTCTCTCCTTGCTGAAAAGTCCAACCAAATATTCCTCAGCAGATTTCCTGCAGACTTCATTGATCCATTCATGCTGCCCAGGCTGTGACTGGTCAATGTGTGGTCTCAGGTGCCTGGGTTTGATTATAAGACAAAGAATGACTCTGTAAGGAATGACTTTTCCCATGTATAAGTATGCTGGCTCCTACACAAATGCAGGCTTTGCAAAGACCTCTCTCAACATCCATATGACTAAAGCTCAGTCAATTAAGTGCTATTGCAGAGTAGAGAGAAAGACGAAGTAGAGGAAAGCAAGTGTCTACTCTGGTATCAAAAGGAGGCTCCTCAGGTCAATGAATTCATTCCCGCCTTGCTCTAGTTCAGTTCTCTACTTTTGACCTAGGAAGAAACTCAGTCTTCACCTATTGGTAGAGAAAATGAAGATTCACCCTTTTTCTGCTCACTCTAGAGCTTGTTGAGAAGCAATTCAGCTGAATGCTGCAATACCACTACTCATTATCAATTTTTCACAGTACATCAGCAAGTTAGTTTTCTAATGGAAAACCTTACTTCACCACTTTCTATTCTTCTCACCCACAGCCCCTGCCTGAAGGCTGTGATTCTCTTCAAAACCTATCAGTCTGGTTCCCTGGCCGACTGAGAAAGTTAATTGGCTGTTTTCTGTTTATGACTTCCTCTAGGACAGAGAAGCAGCCAGAATTTGTATGCCTGAGTGACAACATAGGTATCACAGCTGTCCCTGCCATGATGCTTCTCCACACACATAAGTAGGTTGGTCACTGAAAACAAGCTTTGTTATCCCCCCTCCTTGATCCCACCCAAAGCTTAAGGCTCAGAAGACCCTGGAAAATGGTTCTCCATAGCTCAGGGGAATGTGGAACTCATTGTGGCTGTCCCTGACATTGCCCGTTGTTGAGGCACTTGTGCTCCCAGCCTGTTTGAGCACAGGGTGTGCTCCCAGTGCCAGGACGGTTGCAGCAGCTAGGAGAGCAGGGTAACCAGAGGGCAGGCCAGAACTGGAAGGGGCTGCTGGCCTGATGTGAGGGTTCCATACCCAGCTTAGGAGGAGCACAAGGCATGCACATTTGCCACAGCTACGGGCTTCTGGAAAGTTCCAGTGAATTTGTGAAGTTACTGAGAAAAAAGCCAGCAGTTAGCAAAGACCTGCACGGCTTTGCAAGCTTCTGAATTTGCTCAGTATCTGAATTTGATCCCTGCCAACAAAGATAAAATCTACCTGGTTTTAGTGTGGGATGCCATTAATGCTTGAGGAGACTTTAATAACACCAGAACATATTCATAAACTGATCCTCAGTGATTCTTGTATGCAGATCTCTGTCTATCTAAAATATTCTTCTACTTTCCATTCTTAGGCAGACTCTTCCACTGTAATTTTGAATGCATCTTGCAGAGTGCTGACAGCCCCCTTTTGCAGTGGAGCCACTGCAGTGAGCAATGAAGGTACCCAGAAGGAAAAACATTTGGAAAGGTTTGTATTCCAATTCCTGATTTCATGGATTAGTCTGAAAGTTGTATTATCTATTCCGCCTGAGTGGCAGCTGCTTATAAGCCTTGAGGGAGAAATACTAAATATCACTTTCTCTTTCATAAGAAAGATGATCTTATTTATTTGAACTGAGTTTTATTCTATGCTTTTTATATGCACCAAAGCAGCGAACATTACCTCAGCACTCCAGAAGTGTTCTGCCCTGTGCCTTTGAATCAGTCCACCCTGCCAGGCTTGGCACCCAGGTTTGACATTTCAAAAGGACTTTGTACTTACATGGTAACTGAGCTCTCCCAACTCCCCTGACAGAACATGGCCCAACTTCATCCCCTGAAAAATAATTGACGGCACCAGTGATTCCCTTGCTACTTTTCACAATATTCCTGTGGGATATGCAATATTCCCATGGATTGGGTCAGAAAATGTAAGATTTAAAGCACAAAGCTTAAAAAGTTTTGCGTATCATGCACTCAATATGACACCAGTTTTTCATTGTTTCAAAGCTGTTACATGTGTTCTCTCTACTTTTCTCAAAAACATGACTGAGACCAGAATGAGAATGGAACCATCCATTTATTCACCATAATAAACTTACTTGGATAAAGCTTGCAGTGAGAACAGTCTCCCAGAGAGCATCATAGGCTGGAACAAAGCTGGAAAAAGCAAAGATTTTGATCTATGTTTTAAAGGTGGGCTGCTAGGATGACTGTCCTTGCTGTTCAAATACATTCAGTTTGTTCTGATTCCTGGTCTTCTCATCAGCTGAGAGATCCAGGAGTAACAGCCGTCAGCAAGCCCCAGGCCACCCAGCAGATCAATAGATAAGTTGAGATAAGAATATTGTTCTTACCTCCTGGGGCTGCTGCCTCCTCTATGGTGTCAGAAAAGCCCATTAAGTGCAACCTGTTTATCCCAGGACAAACAAATTTAATTTCTTCTTTAAGTCTTTCTAGTTCTCTGTCACCAAACATTGATTTAAAAATGGACATTTGTCTTCCTTGGGCAGAACACTTTGGGTGTTTGCAGTCCTCTGAACTTGCTTTTTAACACTGGAAAGCGATAGGGTTAGCAAATTGAAACCTGTGATAAACTTTTTAATAGGCAGATAATGCCACCAGATTTACATGCTGACAATGGAGTTGATGTTAACGGAAGACAGTATGAACTAAGGGAACTTTGGAGTCCTTTAATGCTAAAAGCCTGCAGCAGGTAGGTTTTTAATTTACAAGCTCCACTTACCATCTACTTGTCATTGGGAGCCTGAGGCTTTTGAATGGGTAAAAGTGGATAAAGCAGTTAAAGAGGTGCTGAAGTATTATTAGGTGTGGAGTGCCCACAGCAAATACTCTGCAGTTGCCACACTGATTAGGCACAGAGGCATAGGCTGACAGTCATTGCCAGCTGGTGCCAATGTGCTCTAGTGGGAGATCCACACCTATTTGAGCATGTGTTCACAGGGAATAGAGGCTGGCAGCCTTAATATTAGCTTCACGCCAAGAGAAACAAGCAGTGACCAGGAAGCCATTCTGAATAAGACTTATGTATGTTTATATTTTGTCACCAGTTGCTCTCGGGAAGCCAAACTCAGTGCAGGTGTGCTGGAAATGTGTTCCTGAGCTGCATCAGGCACCACTGTGCTGTTCAGGGTGGTCTGAGCCCTTGGCTGCTCTGGGGCTGTGAGGTGACAGGTAAAGTCTCATTCTCTCTCACTGGGGGGGTGGCACAATCTGCAATGGGGGACAGGACTGTGTGCCAGATAGAATGGGTTTTGCTGTTCTTTGGTTTTGCTTTTTCTGGGAGATGTGAAAGGAAAAGGGAGGGGAGAGCATAGTGTTTAAATTTACAGAAGCTATTTGGCTCCTTACATGAAGGACACATCCGAAAACAGGCACATCAGAGTAACGGGGGAGGCAATTTGACAAGAAGGAAGCACTTAAAATAATGGGATCACTGATAAGGTCAGGGTTATGAAGAAGTCCAAACTGGGTCAGAGATTCTCATTTCAAACTAATGAACCCCTTGATGACAGGAGCTGGAGTTTCTTGACGAAGGGGATGGACTGCTCACAGCAAAGTGGTGATGTGAGTGTCGACAGCAGCACCGAGAGGTTAAAGGCAGTAGTTTAATTCAGTTGGGCAAGCGTCTGCCACCTTTCTGGTCAAGAGGGTCTGGGCAAATTCCTCTTCTGGGTTCAAATTCAACACTTTATCTTTAAAATATCAAGGCCAAACAGAGTTCAGTTTTACATGCTCACATAGAAGTTCACCTTTTATTCACCAGAAACGTCTTGTTTCATGGCTCATAAATATTAAACAAATATAAATGTAACCTCTGTGCTCTCAGGACCGATTATGAGTGAGTGAATTTAAGAACTAAAATTTCAGAGCTGCAGTCTTTTTCCCTGTTTTTGACATCCTCTGCTAGACAAGGAGCAAAAGCACCAGCACCTGTGGTCAACTCATACTCAGAAATGACCCCCTCCTTAATTCCCACCTCCCTTCCTCTGGCTCCCCTGTTGTAGTAAGTCAACAACCACAAATATCCCAGCCTGAGTTTGCGAGCTTCTCCATTGCCCCATCCACAAAAGCTGTGTGAGGGCATTACTGGGTTTTGTGGTGCTGTGGCCACATCAGTTCTGCTGTGTCCTTCTCCAGTAATATGTTAGCTCGCAGCTGAAAGGCAGCATAGTCTAGAAGTCACTGGTAACAGAAATGTCCAAGTGATTTTGTGCTGTAACTTTTGAGATGAAAAACTTGGCTGGGAAAAAAACAGAAGCCATAAGTCTATTTGCCTCACCTACTTACTGTGTGCTTATCTGGAACAGCTTGTGAAATTCTTTGGAAACATAATGTATTTAGCAGATAGGGGCCAAGACTTTGAGCTCGCCAAAAGCAAACTTTAATTCACGGTCTTGGTATCATGGGAGAGCTAAACTTCAAGTGGTCTGATGCAAGGATTTTCTGACATTCATATGGTGAAAAACAATTCAGTCCCATATTTAAAGGTGGGATGGGGGAAGTAAACAGAAAACGATCTCTTGGGAAAGCTTCAAGGCTGATGAGCAACATTTGAAAGTTACCCTCATTTCTCCTAAGGGTCTTTGAAAGAAGTGCTGTGATTCGCCTTTTGGGCAAGGAAAGATCTTTATAGTTGGCTTTGAATCTTGAAGAATTAAATTTTTTCAGGTGCTGAATGCCTTCAGCTCCTGCAATTTCTCTCTGCCATCATACAACACCTCAGAAATAGCAGAGATGCTTCTGAGTACTTCTGCCACCAAGCATGCCACACTATTCCAGGTAGAAAAGCTGTGCTAGCTCTAAGGCTACCCTTAGTCCTGTTTCCTTCTGCCTTGCCTCTCTTGCTGAGTGCCTTCATCAGTCCCATCTGCTACCTGCTGCTTACAGAGATAGGACACAGAGCCTGGTGCATGCTTCAGATTTCAAATGTGATGCTCATTACATACCCAGAGAAGACCACAAAGACAACTGAGTAAATGAGCAGAGTGATAGAAAATGTAATTAGCCTATTTTTATGATGAGGCAGGAGATGAAGTCCTGACTGCCTGTTGTTATTCAAGAGCTGACAGCACTTTTTGTGCAGAGGAAGCTGATGACTCTTGCCCTGTGTGAACACATTATGTTCCACTTCAGTTTCCATGGCATTTTGCTGTTCTTGGCCCAAATAATTCTTCAGTCTTTGTGAGGGCCACAGTACTGAATAGCAAATTGTTTCAGCACAGATGTAGCAGTATGATAGGTTGTGTAATGAAACTTAGCTTAGAACTGATTTAGCAGAATACTTGTGTCTGTGAAGGGTCACCATGGTTATGGTTTGTATTCAAAACCTCACAGTATGCTGAGAAAAGCTCCAGCATGCTAGACCCAAAAAAGGTACCGATGTGTCTAAAAGTCAGATGTTGCAACGAGATGAACAATCCCGGCCTAGAGACCTGCATTAGACACCTGTGTGCAAGGGAAGTCCTGTGCCCGAGCTCCCAGACCAGCATGCTGAGAAGACAGCCTATGCTGACCTAAAGGTAGCTGAGCCTAGGGGTGTGCTTGTGGGGCAGCAGGGTGGCACCTCCATCCTTCAGGAGTCGTCATGTTCAGGGCCAGAACGCGCATCTCTGGCTTTTCCTTAAAAGAAATGAAGAGAGGTGCTGGTGGCAATGGCTAGAGCTGCTTCCTGAAGAGGCAAGAAGGCAAGATTTCATTCCCTCATTTGTCTGGAAGGGACCAAATCCACACAAATAAGGACGTGTAGACTGGGGGTAAGGCATGGCACGTGTGGGTCTGCTTCCCACCCAGATGATGTCTTGTGCCTCCTAGGTTGGAGGCGGGAGGTAGAGGGAGTCTGGCTGCCTGCTATTGTAAAAGAAGTCCCCATTTTTCTCCCACTGCTTGGTTTGAAGATAGCCTGATGTCTGAGCATGCAACATGAGTTAAGCATGTTCTGCCACCACCTCTCAGATCAGCTATGTTGGGGATCATAGCTAAAGGTCTAGTTTCACCATAGGGATTGTAGCTGGCCATAGACTAGGTGTTAAGCCCAAGGCAGGAGTATTTGCAAAAACCTAAGCTCTAGGCATCTGCGACGCTTGAGCATGGAAGGAATCACACCTCTGAAGTCAGCAGTCTGGGGCTTCCTGGCCAGATGAAGATTTTTCTAATGGCAGTTTTAGATTTGGCATCATGCAGAGAACTGGAACATGCTTATATAGACCTTCAGGATTATCTTCATACGTCAAGAAGATTCCTTCTGTTTTTCAAAGCATTTACCTATTCTTTGTCATAGAAAGTGGTATTTGATGGAAGTGACAATCCATGTGCATTACAGTTTACTGATGCTTGTGACTCAAGGTTCTATAAAATATGCTTGCATTCTGCATTACAAGATCCAGTAATAGAGGATTTAGCTTACTGTGTACACAGGAGAAAAGCTTCGCTCTGGGACAATTTACAGAGGTTGTAGAAAAGGATTGGCTAGAATTTTTCTCTGAAACAAGGCTGCTGCTTGTATAGCAATTTGTACTGGCAAGTCCATCCCCAGATGGATTGTTTTATCATTATTTTCCTATTATTCACACTGAAAAAATATCACCATAAAAATATTGCTTGTTTCAGTACGTAACTTGGTTACTAAGGTTACAAGATGAGATCTGCTTGGAATGATTTACAGTTCCTAAATACACTTTCCTCCCCCAGCAAGCTGACTGAGAAGAAGAATCTGCCCTAATAAATTAACCATGGTAAATGTGGACTGACCTACAAATTAAGAAATAGAAGGTTAAATACAAACATCGATCAAAGGCAAGAACTATAAATAGATAATGAACTGAAGAAACAATGTCTGCAAAGCAAAAGAGTCCCGGAGTTTTCCCATTTGATGGCAAACACTGCTTAAGTACTCTGCTCACCAAAAGAGGAAGATACTGCTTACGTGCAGTCAGAGGAAACGTTATGCAGCAGGAAGCCTTGGCACTTCTACCTAGAAGTCAAGGAAAAAATCCCATTCTCCGTGAAATATCTGTAAAAATGGGCTCAGTCATTAACACTGAAACACATATTATACAGGCAAACAAGCAGATCCTTATGTGTCATCGCAGATCCTCAGGGCAGTTGCACTGATCCACAGTGAGTGAGGATCCAGCTTCAAGTTCACCCTTGCGTGTATATAATCTGGTATAACAAAGTGTACACAGGATTATAGGAGACTTCAGGTTTTACATGGGCTTTCTCCAGACTCTGCCTTTAAATCCTGACAACTGAATTTACTTCTGAAAGAAGAGGTTTTGCCCTAGATATTTGCCACAAGGTGCTGCTGCTCGTTAATTCTGTTTCTCCTCCACTCAGCCTCCCTAGCTGGGTCTTAGAGACTTAATTTCCTCACTGTTATCAGCTAAAGGCACATCTGCTTTCTGATTCACTTAAGATGATTTTTAAATCAAGCTGAAGCTGCACATGATTCTTTCTAATTGGTAAGCTCTGACTTATCACCTTGGAGAAGTCCTAGCCATGCCCTAAATCCTGATGATTAAGTCAGCCTCTTAATAATATCCCAAATCGCTTCTATGCAGGGGTACAATAATAATTTTATGAGGCAGTTTCTTGGCTGCAGAAAGGTATAGAAGAGGTGTGGGCCTGTCTCAGAGCATATTGCTCTTCTTAGTGCCAACCAAGAACCATCTTGTCACTGAGGCATTGCTGCATGGTGCCAAAGGGTCTGCCTTCCTATTCGCCCCTTGCCAGCTGCTAAACTATCTTCTTTCTTTTCACTTCATTCTGGCCAATTTAGCAACCTTCCTCAGGAAACCAGCTGTCTGGTTGTACACTGAGCATACAGCATTATGCTTGCATACCCGGGCACAGCTCCCTTGGCTCATTCACATCATCTTGAAGTGGGATTTGGAAAATCACTGAACCTGCTGTTCCACAGTACATCTGTATACATGGGGATGGTGGCATCTGATCTCTCCTTGATTTGACACTGCTCTGGATGACAGTACTTAAAAGGAAGGGTTTTCCCTGTCATCAGGGGCACACAGTGAGCTCTCTCTTGCATGTTGCTGCAGTGAAATTCATCCTTGAGATAATGCTTTACATTATCACCTCTCTGAGGTGAGGCTGATGCCAAGACCAGGCATGTGAAACATTGTCTCTGTGTGGCTCTCTCCATCCAATGCTTGTATTTTCTGTAATCCATCATCACAGAGCTTTCTATCAGTCGGGAGGGAAGGAAGAGGAACAAGATCCAGGGATGGGTGAGAATTATCTGACTAGCCTTTTGTCTTCCCTTTAGTGAACCCTATGGGCCAAAGCTCCATGTAAATACCTTCTTGCTGAACCCAGACCAGAAAGTGAAGCGCTACCTGCCACAATCTATAGGTCAAGTTGTTCTACGCTGGCACAGCTCTTCTTGAGACACAGCTGGAGAGAGCCCACAGAAACAACAGTATTCTGTGATCCAGTGGGGGAAACTGTAGTCCAGGCAGACTGGGGGCCTAAATATTGTCAATGTTCCCTCTCTTCTACTCCCTGTCCTGAAATGGCAGTAAATGGAAGTAGACACATGATAAATGCTCACACACACAGTCACAGGTAGCTTGGTAATGGCTGTCAGGTTGTGCTCGCTGCTGACCTGCTGCTGAGTTAAAGCTGGAGGAAATGGTGACAGCTAAGAGGAAGCAGCACTTTCAGATCAGGCAATTTAGATGCTGCTGTGGTGCCCACTCAGAGAGGCTTTACTTTCTGCTAATGGAAGATGTTCTGAAGGGGCTAAATCCCTCTCTTAATCCACTCCCACATCCTCATAAATTCATGACAGCTGACGGGCATCTTTTGTTCTAATGACTTTGGTCCTTGGATGACTTCTTTACCCACATGCCCTCTGGATTTAAACTGCATTAACCAACAGTGTTACTTGCCTGTGTATTAGTCAGCTGTTGTGTGTTTTAGCTAAGGAATAACACAGTTCAGTTCACACATATGTTAAGTGATTATGAGGTTATCGAAAGATTTGTTCAGATAACCTTGATGGACTTTATTAATACAGCTCTAAAAACTTAGCATTTTGACAGAAAGAAAATAGACAGCTCCTTCAGGCATCTTCAACCTCATTTCTCTTGGACATAGGACAGACACAGTGGAGCAACCCATATAGCCTGCTCAGGACTCACCTTGAAGAGGGAAATAAAAGCATGGTTGGGCAGGTGTGTAACCCTTGGAAACCCATGCCTGGATTTCAGTGTGGCTGTACTGGCAATAGCTTTCTCATCAGTCTAAACGTAGGTAATGGGTCAATCAAGCAATGTCTATTTACTCCCACCTGTCTATTTTCCTTAAATCTCTGCAATATTTTGGTTAGCAACTTGGCAGACAGTTTTAGCTTAGGAAGATTTTTAGTGCAGAGTTGCCATTTCCTGGTTAACCACCATTCATCAGCAAAGAGAAGGTCAAGTCCATCTGACAGCAGTGCCCAGCTTCAGAACACCAGCCTCATTAAGGACAAAGCACAATGACCATGCATGCTTTGCTGTCAGAAGTCCTGGATTGGGTTTCCTTCCCTATCTTGTTTCTTTCTCCCACCTCATCGTGGCACAAGCATGGTAATAACATCTGGACCTCTGATAAAAGCATTTCAAAATGAGCAGGTGTGAAGATATCCTCCTCTGCTATCAAAGTGAGTCTCAGTTTTTCCACCTGAGGTTACAAATGAAAGCTCTGCAATGCTGTCAGCTTAACAAACAACAGTGAGGTGATGTTTAAAGCATAAATATTCCAGGGCAACCAAATATAGT